ACAGAGAGAGAGGGAAAGTGAGAAATCAACTCCCAGGGGGATGGCCATGCCGCAATCCCATGTTCTCCATCTCCTCTTAGGATTCTGGGCACACACACATGCATGCACCTGGTGTGATTTTCAAGCTGCCGGGTCCGGGACTTGAGCCACAGTAAGCCATGTAGGAGTCCAGTGCCTTAACCACCACGCCACCTGCTGGCCCAGTTTCACTTTCTCTGTAGTTGACCCCTAACGCGGTGCATGTTGGTGGGGTGCGGGGGGCTCTGTATGTACTCTGCAATGACTTAATCGGGGCACTTTGCGAAGCCATGGCCTTGGACTCTACCACTCCTTGGAGGGACCTTCAGAACCTCTCTTCTGGCCCTCGTGAAGGATACAAGATGGAATTGTCACTGCAGCTGTCGTGCTGTTTCACAGAAGAGAAACTGCGGTCTCAGAGAGGTCAAGAACTCGCCTGAGATCAGAGTTGGGACCGGCTCCTCCAATGCAAGCGTCGTGGTGCCCGCTAACCACGGACCAGGAGGAAGCAGGAGCCAGGACCCTGCTCTGTTTACCGGGCCCCATGTGTCTCACCCATCTAGCATGAGAAGCTCTTAAAGGAAGACACCCTTTAGTTTAGTTACAGAAAAACCCATCCCTACAGACAAGCAGGTGGGGTATGGCCCCGGAGAGGACCTTTTATTTTATTTTATTTTTTTAAAGAATTACTTAATTTTATTTGCTATTAATATTTATTTTTAAAATTTGACCACACACACACACACAGAGAGAGAGAGAGAGAGAGAGAGAGAGAGAGAGAGAGGGCAAAGGCAAGCCGCCAGGTCTTGAACCACAGTCAGCCATGTGGGAGTCCAGCACTCTAACTGCCACACCACCTGCTGGCCCCTTGAGACAACCCTTGATTCAACCCGGAACTGGCTGCATTTACAGCTGCTGAGGACAGAGGGCACTGAATGGAAGGGAGGCTGCACTTGCCAGCTCCTTTTCTTTCTTAAAACAAAAAAGATATTCAGGGCAAATTTTAGAATCATTGACGGTTTCTAAGAAGATTTTCTTTTTTGGAAGAAAAAAGGTACTCTTGTCTTCCTAATTGTTCTTAGGGTTCTTTGTCATCAGTCATATTCTTTGTGGAGAGTATTAATACACCACCTTCCTCTGTTCAATATTCTCATTAACAATAAAAAGCCTCATGAAAATATCTGCATGAAAGCCCTGAGCACCAATTCCAGAGACAAATAGAAGGCGAACCAATAAGCGTTGCTTTTGAAATGAATGATGCAAATTAATTGATACCTTAATTAGGCTTTAGCATGAAGACTTTGAGTTGGATTAAAAGAAAACTGAAACACATCTTCAGAGGAGGGCCACGAGCCCATGCCCGCTCGGCCAGGCTCCGTCTGCCCTAGTTTGGCCAGGTGTGGGGCCAGAAGTCTAGCTCTGCTCCTGGGCTAACGGGAGCCTGCAGGTGAAGGCAGGTGTGGGAAGTCCCACCCCTGGTGTGCCCTTGGGCCCTTGCGATCCTATCACTGACATGCGAAAGCCTCCTGGCTCTGTCTCTCTAGAACAGAGACCCAGAGGGCAGGGCCTCCCTCGCGTTTATATATGTTTAACCCCGGCGCTACCTGACTGAGGACACTCTAGTGATCACACAGTGAACACCCATGAAGGCTTACTGTGCCTGCTGGGCGTTGTTCTAAGCACTTGACTTAAAATACCTCCGTCAAGCTTCAGGACAACAGTGTGAGGGGGAAACTACAGGTGTCTTCACTTTGCAAGCGAGTACAGGAGTCAGAGAGGCCGAGCAACTAGCCCAAGATCCCACAGCTAATAAAGGTAGATTCAGGATTTAAACCACAGCAGTCTGACTGCAGAGTCCGTGTTCTTGTCCACGGTGCTACAGGGAATGGCGTTCAGCTTGTATGTGTCGACCTGGATGAGCAGAAGGGCACCAAGAATGCCTGGGCCCTGCGGCTGGGCCCTCTCTAACTCCTAGCTTTATTTAAGTCGCCCACAGAGCCAGTTCTTTGTCCGACTTCGTACTGGACCCTGTCAGCCTTTCTACGGCGTGGGGTGGGAGCTACAGATGGTTCCCGTGTGCCTGAGGCCTGGGCAGCCTGTCAAAACACTGGCCCTACTGAGGAGCCCCTATGCCCATGACCGCCACCATCCTAAGATCACATAGGAGCCCCTATACCCATGACTGTCACCATCCTAAGATCCCTCCTGCTAAGATCACACAGTGAACACCCATGAAGGCTTACTGTGCCTAGATGCCACCAAGTTCGTGCCTGTGGTCATTGTGACCACAGGGCCATTGCTGCTCTGTGTCTGCAGTGGTTGGTGGCATGCCTGATTGCTGAGGCTGCTTGGGAAGTAATGCTATGTGGGGTATAGTTTTACAGGGTCCAAAACGCTTAGTTTAGGTGTGCTTTGTTTACCAAGAAAGCGTCCCCTGGAAGCACCTACCTGGAAGCATAGCAAGAAATAGAGCCTGGGAGTGAGCTGGGGTGGCGGGTGGGCACAGCAATTGTGTCCCCCCCCCCGACAGAGAGGGCATGGTGCTCGCCACCACTGGGGTCGATGGTAAGCATGTGGCGTGACCCAGAGCGGGTGGCACACGTGGCAGGAAGGGCCCTGGGTGGAGGCTG